CTCTAAGTAGATTGTAAAGACCCGAAGCTCTAGCTCCTGACTACAGGCGGCTCCGGAAGGCAGAACTTCCTAGGATGCCCAGTAGTACCCTTATTCCCTTTTTGTAGTCCTAGGTTCCTTATAAAGTCACCCAATACCAAAAAGAGAGGCCTTTTTATTCTTAGGTTACTGGGTATCCTAGCTTCCTAGTAGTAGAGTAAGCACAACATCCTGCATTACCTTAAATGTAGTAGAGTGCCATAATTCCCATAGTTTTAGGTATATAGTGCCATGCAGGATTTTGTCCGTAACTTCTAGGGTGTTGGTAATGTAGAGTAAGTAGCCTTGGGGTTGATAGGGATAGAAGAAGAATTCACCTTCAGGGCTTAGGGTCTATAGGGTTTGTGGGGCATCATAAGAGTCCTAAAGTCCTAAAGGTCAACCTGCAATTCCCTTAAGGAACTGGACAACTGCGACCGCTATTTCAACATGGCTCTTCAGAACCGCAAGACCCTTTAGTCAGCAGTTTCTCTGCAATATTATCGGTACATTATCGAGTCCGATGACCGATGTATTCTGCAATCTTATCATCCCTGAGACTCTTGCCTGGTTACTGTTATGATTTGAGGCAATATGGGTGGTTGTCAAAATTATGGTCCCTTCTTGGGTACCCCAAATAAACGTATTATATTGAGGACGCAAAAAGGGACCACAATTTCGACAACCACCCATATCTGCATAGTGCGCTGCCCTCCGTATCCTCGTCACAAGGAGGCGCCAGCAACCTCCCCCCCCCCCCCCCCCCCGCCCCCCACCCCATGAGACCCTAAAGCTCCCCCACATCGTAGTTGAACCCTCAACCCCCTAATTCCTAAATCCTGATACCCCTCAGCCCGAGTGTATGTGTGTATCATTCCCAGGCGCATGTTAGGAAACCAGCGAAAAAGGGGGATCACTTCATGTTAATTTTCAAGTTAGGTTGAGGTTGATGTTGCTCATTAAGGGTCCCTAATCCGGACGGCACCTTTGGAGGCTTGGGTTGGAGATCTTCATTGTAGTAAAGTGGACATATAGAAGTTGAGGTTTAGTGGTGTGGGGTTTGTAGGGTGTGGGGGTTTGGCGTTTGTGGTTTAGGGGTACACATAATGTAGGAGCCTGATTAAGAAAGCCTGGCCTTGTAATGACCCCAATATATCAGTAATCAGATAAGGAACCCTAATAATTAACGACCCAAGGTTACTTAATCAAGGTCCTAGTTAGCTAGCTTCGTAGCCTTGGACTGAGTATCAGGTCTTCGCTGCGTCGCAGGCTGCCCACGTACCCGCCGACACTTGGGCCGAAAGAAGTCCAGAAGCTTCAGAGCCTTTGAGGTGGTTTAGGGTTTAGGGCGTTTAGGCTTTGGGGTTGAGGGTTATGGGTTTAGGGTCTTTGAGGGCTTTTCGGGTCATGGTAGTGTTAGGGTTTAGGGCTTTTAGGGTTCTTGCTTGAAAAACTGGGGGAGCTTCTTGGGTGCAGGATTGAAGACTTCGCAGTTCCAGCTGTAAGCCTTAGGCTTGAGGCCTTCAACATTAAATCCTAAACCCCCTCAACCCTAAACCCTAAAAGGCCCTAAACCCTTCAAGGGCTTAGCATGCTGGAGTGGTTCAAGGATTCCAGTTTAAGTGTTTTGAGCCGATCTCTGGCCGCTCTTTTGTCATAGAACTCCGGTGACATATGCCCCGAAACCCTGTTTCAAATGTGGGACCCTAGTACCCTAAATAATAGGACCCTTATTACAAGGACCCCGACATTTGGTGCCCCGAAGTTTCGAAAACTACCATATTTAGACACCTCTATGAGATAAATGCAGGAGCTCCTAACCCTCAGCTACATTACCCATGGGGTTCATACGGTTGATGATATAAAGCCTGCATGACCCATAATAAGGAATATACCACAAGTCCCATAGTTTAGCGTCATTAAGGTAATGCAGGATTTATATCATCAACCGTACTATGTAGAATCCTATAGGGTAATCCCAAAAAGGAACTACTATGGGGCCTATGGGTACCCGTCTAGAGAAGTTTGAGTTTCCATTGCTGGAAACGCTGCGTTTTGCGCCTGAGGTCAGGGTTCAAGTGACACTGGACCCCAAATTTGTTTCAACTCCCTGAAACCCGAAACCCTATAAGCCCTATATGCGATATAAGCCCTAAACCCCTTGGGATCCTTGGTGGAACCCTTGTAGAACCCAGAGAGGATCCCGTCCGGGTACTATGGGGTTTAGAAGGCTCTTTTTCAGGGCATTATAAGGTTCCAAAATAGGGCTCACTTTACGGGAGACCTTAAGGCATCCTTTATGAGAGGGTTTAGGGTCCAGGGTTTTGTGGAACCCCGAGAGCCCAGACCTTCCAAAATCCCTTAATTAAGGAATATACCTTAAATCATAATAGGATCCCTAATATGATTTAAGGTATATTCCTTAATTAAGGGATTTTGGAAGGTCTGGGAGTGGCTGCTTTTCATGTTGGCTGCAAGGATCTCGTGACAATGGCAGCCTGCATCTTCGCGGCGGAGCAGGGCAGCAACTGGCGCATGGCGCAGTTGTTTCTTCAGGTGACTGGTCTGGCGGGTTGCTGTTATTGAGCTTGTGGATGTTCAAGGCTTGGTTAATGATTTCAGCTTCTTGGTGTTGGATAAACGTAACCCCAAAAAGGAACGACCATGGAGAGTATAGGTAGACCCCAAACAGCCCCAAGAGAAGGCCTCGATGTGTTGTCGCCTCATTTCTGCGAGTCTTGGCCCCGTGTCTGTAAACTAAACCCCGTAAAGTTGGAAACCGGATTAAGGCCAAATAGTGCTGGGATTCCCTATACATCACTCTTAGGGATTTAGGCTATTGGGTTTCCAACTTTATGGGGTTTACTGTAAGTGTCATGCTGGCCTGACTTGCTGTGTACGCCTCTGTGGAGGTGGGCAAGGACCCCGGTCGTTTTGTCCTGCGGAGAAAGGCCATTGCACTTTTAAAAAAACGCCCCAAGCCCAGAAGTCCAAAGCCATACTTGCCCCCAAAGTTCTTCTCCGAACCTTACCCTAAACCCTAAACCCTAAACCCTAAACCCTAACGCTAACAAGTTCGACGAGCCTGAACTCAAAGCCCGAAAGCCCCCGCAAAGCCTTTCGAGAAACCGTTTTGCTGAAAGGTAACCTGACACGTCGCATGGCCTTTAGTGTAGGGGCCTTAATAATTAGAGTCGGGCTTGGGGGTTCCTTATTCTCACTATTTCTCACTATAGTATACTGTACCCCAAACCCTATTCTAATTATTACGACCCCTACAGTAGGTTGCAAGGCGTAAGGCGTAAGACCAGTCTGACGCAGGATCTCCGTGCCTCGGGGTTCCAAGAGGATGCCATTACGCGCGACACGATCGTCGGTGCCTGTGACTGGGCTTTGGAGTATCATATGGGTAGTTGTCAAAATTAGGGTCCGTTTTGGGTACCTTAAATATTAGGTGCCGTACTATAATAGGGACCCAAAGACGGACCATAATTTTGACAACCATCCATATTTGACTATGTTTGGGGGACCTGTTACTTAATTAAGGGGAACCATTATGAAGTAAATGTCTATACTTTTTTCTCGCTGGTTACTTCACAGCCTAGGTGAGAAGATGAGCATGCCGGCCAGCCTGGACCGTTTTCTTGAGTTCTTCGGTGTGGTGTAGGCTTCAATGTTCTGGCTTCTGGCGCTCTTGGGTATCAAGGTTCGGGGCAAACTCCGTACCGTGCACCCTTCAACCCTCAACCCTACATTATTTGAGGCTTACGGTTTTTTGTTGGCTCTGAGATTGCTTCATTAGTCTTCAAGGCCTTAAATCCTAAACCCCCCCCCCACAAAAACGCGAGAAAAGGCCGATGTCCTCCGGTGACAGCTTCTTGTGCGCTGGCTTCAGCCTTAACCTATCCACTCTGAACCTTAACAGCTCGAATGCTTAACCGTGAAGCCCTAAGCCCTCAGCCCAAGCCCAAGAGTGGGGTCTTGATGGTTTCGGGCTCCACGTGTTTTTTGATGGATAGCATGTTCGTCTCTGTTGGCCTGCAGGACAACAGCAGACCACTGCCTAGCCGCGTCATGCCAGCGCTGACGAAAAGAGAGCCGTTGTGATGCTTGCTGCTTGGGACCGCTGAACCCTCAACCCTGGTTCGAAATCGGAAAGAGGCATCAAAACAAAAAGCTAAACTCTAACCCTACACGCCTTATTGCTTCCTTTCTGGCTTCTTTCTTTGGCTGTTCTCATATCATTTTCAATATGCTTGTCGTTGTCGGCCCTGCACTATTCGAATCTCGCCATGTTTATTTATCAGCGCATGTCTCCGATCGATTCGGGCAGAACTGCCTGGGGCAAGCTGGGTTGCCCAACAAAGGTTCCATAGACAATGAGATCACAAACCTTAGAGCTAAACAGTAAGTAGTACTAACTTTCTCTATCCGGCGAGTGCTTTGTCGAACTAAGCAAGGTCCCTCTCCTCCTCAGGACCAGTCACTTCGAGGATGACTGTTGATGCTAGCCATGTCCGAGTACGGTGACGCCCAGTGATCACTGTTACAAGTAGGATTTGGGAGTTTCCGAAAATGGGGAACCCTAATACAGTACCCTAAAGAGTAGGATCCTTATTGTAAGGACCTCAAAATAAGGTAGCCCTAATTTTGGGAAACTCCCACTTGTTCATGGCGTCTGAGGCTTGAATAACTCTGCCAATTCTTGGTTTCAGTCTGACCTTCGTTTTTTGTCGGAAACCCTGAACCCTGCCCTAAACCCTAAACCCTTAAACCTCTAAATCCCTAAACTCTAAGCTTTAAGGGTGTTCAGGCTTGTGTAAAACTGTGGCGTGTAGCCTCTGGCGCCATCCTTGCGCCCGAGGTGAAGTAGGCCTTGATCTTCGGTTTCTGCGGAGTGTATACAATGCTCCTTCGGAATCGGGTAGTGAGTGTATGTGGTGGGTTCTACTTGGGACACTAGCAGCAAAAACCCGATTCAGGTGTTCGCATGTGGGCCACATTTGGCGTTCCCATCGCTACTGGCCGCACCAGGTGAGCTCAACCGAGGGTTTTGGGATTCTGTTTAGAGTTTAGGGTTTGGGGTTAGGTTTCGGTGAATGAATGTAGCGGCTTGTAACCGAAACCCTAAGCCGCCGAACCCTCAGTCCGATGGCATTCAGATTCATCGTAGTAGAAGACAAGGCCGCAGAGAGTATGTGCCAAGTGCAGGGAGAGCCATGTGGGTCATGGGTGAGAGCAGGTTGCGTAAGCAGCAGTCTCGTTGTTTTTGTCACTGCTGTGTTCGGTCGAACCAACATGCTAAGTTCAAAATTCCAAACTCGACCTTAAACCGGAACGCCTTAAGTGACAAAACAAGGCTTGGGGAGTTCAGGCGGCGGGGTTCAGCGCTTGTAGGCTTATAGGGTTTTGAACTGGCAAGGTTCAGAGTGTTCAAGCCAGGTTTGGCTAGTTTAGGCCGCAGCAGTGACGACTTAAGGGTTAGTGGTTTTTTGCACTGGTGATCTCATTTTTCTACAACGGCCTGAACAATCACCCATACAGTTCCGTAGGAGTCCTCATTATATCTATGCTATAATATGCGTACACCAAATCTCTACTCTACCGAATCCTAAACCATCCATCAAGACACTCGGTGGCTTTAATTGGGCTTAGCCTTTGAGTTCTGCACAATGAGAAAATCAGTCGTAGCCTCGTAGCCGTGACAGTTGCCAGCAAACCTTTTGTTCGGTAGGCAGGCATATATATATATATATATATATAAACTATGTATATATATATATATACTGTTATTGTTACTTATTTAACTGTTTACTACGTTGATTGTTGGTATGCTTATTTATTGATTTTTCATGCAGTTCTTTACTAATGTTCTGTACTTTTTTCATTCTTGCATTCATTCAGTAACTCATTCATGCATTCATTCATGTGCTATTTTTTTTACCTTTCGTTCGTTCATTCATTCGTTCGTTCATTCATTCGATCATTTAAAGTTTTTTGTTATATACGTACATAGACACGTGCATATTTCTACATGCATACATATATCTATGTGTATGTATAAAAAATACATACACATATATACATACATACATTCATTCACACATACATTTACAACCGGGCAGAAACATGGCAGTTGGTGTAGCAATGCAAACCTGCAGCCTGCCCCAAAACCCTCGGAAGCCTTCAACTCCAGGCCTACGAGATTGATACCAATGAGGTGGTCCGCAATAGGCCGGGTCGTACCCATGTGCCCATGTTTCGTCTTGATATGTTGAATGAGACGTTGCTTCAAGTCTTGACTTTCCAATTTGTGGCTTGGAGGCCTGCAATTTCGGCGAGTCCTCAGTCCTAAACCCTCACGCTTTGGAGATGCTCCAGATAGTCTGCTGAGCAGCTTTGTGCTGGATTCTATCGCCACCCCCACTCCTACGCCTACTCCTCCTCCTCCTACTCCTGCTCCTGCTCCTGCTCCTGCTCCTGCTCCTGCTCCTGCTCCTGCTCCTGCTGCTCCTCCTACTCCTGCTCCTTCTCCTACTCCTCCTTCTGCCTTTTGCTATTGCTGCTATTGATTACTACTACTACTGCTCCTGCGACGACGACTACTACTACTACTGCTCCTACTACTACCACTACTACTAGTGCTACAACTATGACGACGACTACCATCACTACTAACTACTGCCCGAAGCATCTTCTTCCGTGGCTCCCGAAACCGCCTCGTCCGGGGTCAGTTTTCCATGTGTAGTAAGCGCTCCTTGCATCAAGTGTAGTATACAGTATCCCACACACCTGCTCAGTCTCTGGGTCCCTAGATAGGAGAGACTGTTGCCATGGCTGCGGTTAAGGACGCCGAGAAGCTTCATCACACCTTAAGCCCTACACCTTTTCACCCTAAGCCGCGAACCCCTATATACTTAGACCATACATCTAGGCCTAGATGTGTATACATATATATATATATGTAGATAGGCAGATCGATAGGTATGTATATATATGTATATATATATATATATATATATAATGAGAGAGAGAGAGAGAGAGAGAGAGAGAGAGAGAGAGAGAGAGAGTTTCCTACCGTACTATGGACAATGGCTAGACCCTCGCTTCTCCTTTCTTGTTTCGATTACGCTTGTGTGTACTCTGCGTCGTAGATTGTCCCGGGTGGACCCCTCACAACATGAACCCTTGAAGCCTAAACCCTTAAAGCCTTATGACCCCTAAACCCTAAACCCACAAGCTGAGCTGAGTGTGGAAGGATGTATCTGTAGATGTTGGGCTGCGTAGATGCTGTAAATGCGTCTGCGGACCGCGCTGTTGGTGCATTCCTCCTGGAGGTGCACTTGACCTGTGTTCGCGTGGAGAAAGGGCCATTGAATCTTAAAAACACTAAACCCCTAAACCCTAAAGCAAGACTCGTAACTGGGGTCCCTCAAAGCTCTGGAGCTGTCGGATTTTTCTGTGCTCTCGGCTCCGCTCCTGTGCCAGGCTCCGAGTAGCGGAAGTTTGGCTGGACGAGTATAAGACGCCAGGATGCTCAGTTCGGGGTTAAGGGTTTAGTATTTAGGGTTCAGGGTTTAGGGTTGATGCTTGCCCAACGGGTCCTAAGGTCCTAGGTATTGATTTGGGGTATACCTCCCCCAATCATAATATTAATTCCTACCAGACGCCAGGGTGCTTAGTTCGGAGTTTAGCGACTTGAAGCATAAGGTCTACCTGGACTTTCAAGAGCTTAAACTGGTAAGGATTTATATGTGTCAGATAGGAATTCATTGAACAGCCAGGCTCACAGATTGCACACACCTGGAAATCACAAGCGGAAACCTTTGATTCAAGGTTGTGGTAGGGCGCTGAGGTCAGGGTCTATAATGAGGGTGTTGGGTATTCAGCCGATGGCGCTTGGAAGGTCGATGTGGGATGAGGGGATGACGCGGAAATTGGAGGGCCGTGTGCTCGTTGCGATACCCATTCTAAAAACCTGACAACTCGCACCATTCCAGACTACTGTAGCATTTACATGTTGCTTAGTTTAGGCTTGCAAAAAATTCCGAGGGCCAACACAGACTGGGGCTTTCAGGGATCAACATCTCAGACCCCCATGCTCCTTCAAGGGATCAAGGGATCCCTGTCTATCTATCTGTCTATCTATGTGTATATATATATATATATAGCTGTATATATTATAGCTTCTTGAGGGGTGTTTTTAGGGCAGCCCGTGTAGGGCTTAGGGGTTGATGTAAGTGAACTTGACACGGTGTTTTGCGAGTTCTGCACTTGTGCACCTGACCTGATTCCGTGAATGTGCCAGCCAAAGGAATGCATCGAACAGATAGTCAGTACCTATTGAAAGAAGTACCCCAAGAAGTTGGCCAGGCTCGGCTTACATCGCAATCGAAGTCTCATTGGTGCTAGATGTTGTGGTGTTGCGTCGAGATCGTCATCGCAAGCGAGATCAAACAGTGAGAGCTGGGTTCACACATTGCCGAGATCGCCAAGATAACATATGCGTCGGACATCGGAATACTTCCTATCAGACTATCAGCACCCTGTTATTTGGCATAATGTGCTCCAGAACCCCATTCTAATCCCCTAGGACACCGGCCGCATAAAACAGTTGGTAGTGTTAGGATCCTTCGGCTACGGATCCTAGGAACCTCTTGTGCAATAGCAGAGCAAGTAATCTTTAGCTCTTCTTGTTTTTCGGGGTGGGAGTATTACATAATTTAGAGGCCTGTAAAAGTTCTGTTTTTGCTCTGCAGTGTTACCGAGTGACAATCGAGCATACAGCCCACCACAACCCTCTTCCAGCTGTTAAGGCCCAGTCAGCTCTGCTAGAAAACTCAACAAGTAAATCCTGAATTCCTGGAGCCCTTTTAAGTCTCCACAATCCCGTCGGATTAGCCCTAAAACATCGGCGAGACCCTAGGAGCCCGATGCCCCCTGAAGCCCTGTGCCCCCAAAACCTACAAATGCAAAAGCAATAGCATTGGCTGCAGAGTGCCTTAAAAGCATGTGGTACGATACTTCTTTTTGGGAGGGCAGCGCAATCGAAGCATTGCAGCTCGAAAAATCCCTTGGGTGTTTCGTGTGGTCAGATGATCACATCCACGGACCAGCAGATCAAAGCTGGTGCTCGGAGCGTGGGCAAGGAAGACCATCCCTTGTGAAGGGGAGCCAACATAGTCCGCAAGAGTACCGGAGGGGCATGACGAGTTCCTGGTGTTGGATGGCCCTCGTGTTCCAGGAGGATCAGGGGTTCACAAACGAGCTCCAGGTGCTTGAGGCATTGCATCAGCATCCCGGTGTTTCATTCCTGTATTCATTGCAGCCCAGCGGGAAACTGTACACTTAAAGCCAGCATCCATCAATAAATGAGCTCGAACAGCCAAGAAAGCCTACACTGGGCCTTAGACTGGAGCCTCGTATGAAGCCCACAATCCCAAACCGCCTCAAGGAAGCCATGAAATACGTCCTACACTTGTCATGTGTGTAAGAAAGCCTCAAAAGCCCCAACCACCAAGTCTCCAGGAAGCACACACCCTAAACCTAACAGAACAGAGCTCTGAGCTTCAGACCCTAATTACGTGTCCTACAAAGAAAACCCTGTAAACACTAAGTTCTAGAAGTTGCTAGCAGCACTAAAAAAAACGCTGATACCTCCAAGCCCTAGGCCATTCAGAACCCTAGAAAGAGGCCCTAGAAGCTCTCACTCAGGTTGGTCCACCTGGCAGGGCCACCTCTTTACCGACAGCGTAGCTTGGGGGATGTGGGTGAGCCCAGGATCTGATACGTTTAGGCTGCAAGCAGGTTGGGCTGTAGATTTTGTGGGCTTAAAGTCTCTTCACGAAGCTAGAATAAGCGAGAGCTCAGGGTTCTGTTCAGCGGTACTTCGTGGGTGCAGTCTGAAGTCCGTGAGGTTATTCCATGTTCGGTTTTGGGTCCTGGCATTTAGGTTTTGGGTCTTCAAGGTTGGAGTGATGTTTAGATGTTTGGAGGAACTGTGCGTGTAGACTGTGTAGAGCGCTCGTTAGGTTTGGGGTCGTCTTTTGAACGTTGTTGGGTCACGGATGTAAGTGTAAGTGTCGGGTTGGCCCGCAGAGCTTGCAAAAGGATACGATTGTATGTACAGATAGAAGCAGGATTTTAAGGCGTAGGTTCTACATCTACACTACTCGTAATAAATTATAGTTCCTGGACAGATATGAATTGATATGCCCCAAAATCCTCGTTTCAGGAAGTAAGACCCCGATTCATGTCACACCCTAAAGCCGCGGAATGTGCCGGTCGGCACGGCTACGGAGGTACGGACTTCTCAAAGCAGGCTGGTCGCAACCGGTTTAGGACTTAGGGAGTCAGGTTTTCGGGTTCAGGGTTAAGGCATTAGGAGTCAGGGTAGACAGCCGCACCTGCAATTGCTACTGCTTTGTGTTCATTGCTGCTGTAGCTGCTGGTGATACATTGTCGAAGAGTACCGGCTTCTGACCGTGCTTTATCCAAAGTGGAGGTTGAGCAATGTAGACAGACTGTTCTGTAGATTCGTTCTAAGCCTAAGCCATATAAACAGGCAAAGTATCCTTCCCACTTCCAACACTTCGCAGGCTGGTTGTATATGTTGGACAACCTATGAGACGCCATAGCCATCAATAGTAGCGTGCTATAGGACCCTGCACAAGTACACCAAGCTAGGCGTCACGTAGCAGCGCAAAAGCCGGTGATTATATGGTCTGCCAAATCCTGCATACGCCGCAAGTCCTCATCCTGAACAGCTAAACGGGAAACGCCTTGTACAGCCCAAGCGGGTGCCGTTAACACCGAGGTCAGTGGCCGGCGAAATATGCGCGAGAGGCTGCCGCCATAGCAGTAATGGGTAGATGATGCACTTCAGGGTCGAGCACCTGCAGCAGAAGACTATTGACAAGCAGAACAGTTACGCTAGCCAAGATTGGTTAGCCATCAACCATATCAGAATCGTCACCATCCTCGTCGCAGCAGCCCCCACATCATCACCATCATCATGAATGTCATGACCAGCATTATCAACATCAACAATAGAACCGGCACCACCAGCAGCAGCGACAATGACAACATAGAAGAGGCGGTCTTCGAAAATGGTCTGACTTACTCTACAATGCAAATTGGCTTACTGAGTGGTTGGTGGAGTCTGGTTCCTGAAGCTCCAGAGTTGAAGAACTTGTCGGAGGTCTAGAACTCAGTTTAGGCTTCAGGGTTCAGGGTTTGTAGACGGATTAGGTCTTAGGGCTTAGGCCGTAGGCTGTAAAGGGTTTAGGGTGCAGAATTTTGGGGTTTGAAGCCGGAGTTCACGGACAGGACGAGTGTTGTTTGGTTGTGCAATAGGTTGCAGAATGGTTGGTGACGGATCGTCATACTCGTTTCATAGGGCTTGTCGAGAGAGTTGTGTCCATGGTTGCAAGGGGTGTCATTAATTAGTGCTGGACCTTCCAGAAGTGTGTTTCTCCGACATGGCAGAACATACCTGCAGCCCTAACTCGAAATCCTTGTGTTAGTTTGTTCAGATCACGAGGTTTCTCAGGTTGGGGTGCCTTTCCGCGGGTACTTTCCATACTAGGGTCTCTTGTCGTAACTGCTGTCAAGCGACCCTAGTATGGAACGTCTGGGATGAAGTACCATGAGCTTCGAATCTACAACTGATGCCCCAAACCCTCAAGCCACGACGCCGAAACCCATCAACACCGCAAATCCCGGTGTGGTCCATAATGCGCAAACCTTCAACGGCGCCAAGCCATTGGGATTGATATAGGGGCCTTAGTAGTTACAACAGGGTCTTGGGGGCCATTATACTGTGAGAATAATAAGGAACCCCCCAAAGTAGTATTGGTAATTGTTAAGGCGCCTAGATAACTTCCCTTTGGCCTTTGAGGTTGCCCTTGAATCCCGCAATGCTGGGCCGGAGGTTGGGGTGCAAGTCCTTTGACTGGTACTTGGACAATGTCGCCACCGAGGCCCTGGCCCCCAAAGCTAGGGCATAAGCAGAGTAAGAAAGCTTAAGGAGCAGTTATTCTTTAAGGCAGAGTCAGCAGCTTGAAAGAGAGTAACGAAGGTTGGTCCAATCATACTGCCGCAGCCCGCACAGCTTCAGGAAGAGTCCTTGCTGTTTAGAAGTATTGGTCTCTCTAGGGATGTGTGTGTGTGTGTGTGTGTGTGATATGTCGCGTGACGACGGTGTTTGGCTAGTTTGCTTGAGGAGCGTGATGTCAGGTAAAAATTGGTGTCTATACTCGCATCTATTAGCTCTCACTCAAGTGGTCAACGATAGGATCCCTAAACCGAAATCTCTACGGCCGTGATTCGCCCCAACAGGTCCGGCTTTTTGTTCTTCCGAGCCATGCCTACGTCATTGCTTGCAGGCTGCAGGCAGATTGAACAGAGCAACTTTATACAAACCTTACAAACCTTAACCTCATCAAACCCTTATAGAATAATCAGCACTGTGAAACCCCTGACAACAGCATAGAGACCTGTGTGAACCGCTGCACGACGGCCCATTCGCGTTTGTCTTTATGGCTGGCTGTAGCTACTCATATGTCCAGCATCATGAGCTTAAGATTCGTGCATGTTGATGCTGAAAGGGCGTCTGATTTCAGCCGAGAACATGTGTCGTCGAGCGTCATAGTTACCATCTTGCATGATTGAACATTGTCACAAGCTTGTCTCCAATGCGAGTCCCAACAGTGCATAGTCAGCACCTGGCCTTTCTTAGCACCATGTCCGCCAGGGAAGTTGCTGCACACTTGCAACACCTGAATCGGATGATTGCGCTGTTATCGATTATCTTTAGCATCTCGCTATCGCGAGACTGCTTCAGCATGCACAGGCAGGAGCCATTGCGAAAACTCCGCGATCGCAGTGGGACGCAGATGCCGGGCAAAAACATAAAGCCATACGACTCCTTCACGAAGGAAGGGCGACAGCTGCTCAGGCAAATTACGGATGCGGGAGACAGAGGAGACTGGCAGCAGGTACGGTCGCTTTTCTCTGGCTACGCAGGCACAGACACTCCCGTCTACAATGCAGTAATGCACATTGCATACAGGTGTGGCCAATATCGAGAAGCTGCCGTCGTTTTCGAGCGGTTGTGCAGCTTGAACATGACGAAGACTTCACCAACGTTTACAGCCGCACTATTAGTTTATGCGAAAATGGATGACCAAAATGCAGTGCACCTTGTTTGGTCAGAAGCTCGGCGCACAGTTGAACTAGACCAGCCAGTGGCTGCTGCTCGCATCGCCGCAGCTAGCAGAGCAGGAGATGTCGAAACAGCAGCTGTTGTTCTGGATGTAATGAGCCAAAACCGAGTGGAAATTCAAACCTCGCATGTGTCCGCGGCAATACGGGCCTGCTGGGGATCTTCGGGACAACATCACAATGCTGCGAAGTACCTGTTCAATCTGATGTTCGACCTTGATCTGCAGCCAAGCATTGTGACATTCACAAACTTGGCCGGCGCATACTCGACGGCCACCCTGAAAGAAGTCTTGGAACTGTATGCGACGATGCAGGAGCTCGGCATTCAGCCTGACAAGGTTTTTGCGGAAGCATACTTGTCCACCGTGCTCAGAATCATGAAGAAGGAAACCCAGTGGACAGTGAAAGAAATGCTCGCTCATCTTCTGGAGTGTTCGCCGGAACGTGCTGCAGCTGCGAAGGTTGCCCTGACCGATTTCAAAGCCGCCGGCATGGACATAACTATGTTTTGCAAGAGCATGGATCGGGCACTCTACCAATGGGACCAGAAAGGAACTGGGCAGGAGTCGATCCAAGCTTGCAGAGTACTATATATATATATATATATATATATATAGAGCCCCCTTCTACATGAGGGTTAAAAGGTTAACATCTTGCATACAGTTGCTGTAGTTTGCGCTAGACTGCTAGACAGCAGTGATTTTGTGCAATTGTCTTCCCGTCAATCAAACCCAGAAGCTTTAACGATATGTGCATGGCCAGATCTTCGCCCCTCGACTCTCTCCTGTTGATGCCGGACGAGGCACGTCTTTGCTGGGGCCAAACAGGCCACTTGTTCCATTAATAATTGCTTTGGGGCAGGATGGATGCTCGGGGTGGCATACAACGTGTAAGAAAATATGCACATCCGAAAGTGATTAAGTCGTAGTTCGTCGAGATCGCCGATGTGACCCTGCAGAGTACGCGTTCCGTAGAGAAGGCCAGTTCCGCCAGGATTGGTGTGGTCTACGGCTTACAGGGCAATGACATCACGTGAATACAGGTGCGAAGCTTAAGATGCATTTCCGCAGCTTCACATACAAGAGTATACAGATTGGCTGAAGCATGGCTTCAACCAATGGACACAAGGATTTGTCAAGCAATAGCGAACATTCTACGCCATGTTTTTCGAAGCATACTGCTACTGTATTTGTTCAACTACCAGCGTACGAACCCGTACATACTCCCTGAACCGAAAGCCTCATTGCAATAGCGTGTCATGGCAATGTGTTGAAGATATGCCGTGACAGGCAGCTTGCGCAGCCGGGGACCAAGTCTTTGCCAGCTGAATCCAAAGGTCTTATACGGTTTAGGGACGGTTTAGGCTTACCTTCAACTCCAGGGCGGAGCACCCTAAACCCTAACCCTCCTTCTGCTTAGAACCTGCGTGAGATTGGCAATGATGGGCCTGAGCCATTTGAACGCCTGCTGTGGCTTTAGATAAGTTGAAGGCTAGGTTTCCCGGATGCCTCTACAGAAGCCAGTAGAACCCCTTGTTGAACCCTGTAGATGTGAGGTTCCTGAGTGGCACCTTTTTTGCCCTTATAGGGCAAAACCGAATAGCAGGAAAAAGGGTATTCTTATTTTATTATTTAATTATGGGGCTACTCAGGAACCTAGGAAGCCATGATCGAACCCTGTCGCACCTAGAAGGCTGAGTCTTATGCTCCAATTTGGGTGGCCGGTTTCGCGTTTAGAATTTGGGGGTTTGGAGCTCGGGCTGAGGGCAGGACTGCTTCCTATGCTCTGGCGCCAATACCCCTATTCCAACCCTAAAGTCTCATGACCAGAACCCCTATAATTAATCCCGAAACCTTTAAAGCCCAAAATCCCAGCACCAAAACCCTACATAAACCCTTAGAGCTTAAACAACGCGCTAAGCCCAGAAACCAGAAATTCCCTACCCATAGCCAAGAAAGCCTACATACTTGGGGGTACGTTATGCGTTCGAACGAGAGTTCCAAACACAAAGCCAGGCTTGAACGGCCAGGCATGCCTGGACACCCGCTTCGAGGAAACGTACTTCGATTTGGGGATTTGGGGATATTCTGTTGTTTTCAGGGGTTAGGGATCCTTCGGGTGATTACAGCTCTGCACCCTACAGCCTTAGCCCGAACACATTATAGAGTTCTAGCACTTCAAAAGGTGAAGCAGTCGTTGGACCTCGGGCTGATAGTTTAGATCTCGGGCTCTAAGTTGAGTCCGGAGATGTTCGGAGCACCGATGAGAACCCCTTAATCCCAAACCACTAATACACAAGACCGTGAACCTCGAAATTAGGAAGGCACAGGCGCACGTTTCTATTCCACTTGACATCCACCGCAATGACTGCATGAGCTTGCAGCTTTTGAACAGCCGTCAGGCTGCAATTCAACCTTAAACCCACATTCTTTCAAGTTCTGAAAAGACGGGAGTCACCGTTTTTAACAAAAAGCCTGAACCAAGGGATCGGAAAAGGTTTGCGGAGCCGGGATTTAGGTTTCAAGACTTCGTGTCAGGTGCCAAACCAAACATTTTGCTTCAGGTCCTGTGCCCGAAGGTTTCTTAGGTCTTCTCCAGGCTGGGATCATTCTGCGCTGACAGTTTGAGTACAACGCCTTCTATAGGTAACACTTCGCGGAATGCTCCTTGATCATCTCCGGGTTTTAGCTGCGATTTGCGTGTATGCGTACATACATTACCTTGCAGTATGCTTCACTACATTGCATTACCTTACATTACATACATGCATGATTGCCCAGGTACGTTTTACACGCAGGCATCCACATAGACATATACATATGCAAGCACATACATGATATACATACACATACACAGAAGTGTACATGCATACATACATACATGCGTACATACGTACAATACAAGACCATACAATATGTAATACACTACCTTACCATATACATACGTACGCCGCACGCAAGCGCATACAGATGCGCATGCATACATAGATACATATATATATATATATATATATATATATACATACATACAGACATGCATACATAAACAACTGCGCACCATATATACATACATAGCCCGAACACAGCCTTGCGAATTCAGGAACCCGGGAATTAGGTTTAGAGTTGCCGTATCTTACAACCTATATGTAATTTCCTTATTCGCCGCCTGCTTTGGGGGAGGGGGTCCATCTTCCGAGAGTCCTCTAGCTGCCGAGAGGTTGTATCCAACAGCAACAGCAACGACAACCACAAGCACAACAGCAACAACAACAACAACAACATCGACATCATCAACAACAGCAATTTCAATTCAACGCTGAGCGAGCGTGCTCTGCTCCTGGCGGGCAGTAGCGGGCGATTACCGCTGTGGCACTCTGTTGCTTTAAGACCGACTTCGGCTCTATTCGGGATGGCAAAAGTAAAAACCACCCAGAGCAAGCCCCAACCCAGCAGGAAAACCAGGGCAAACAACAAGGACAGAGACCGGAGCCATTCTGAAAGGAGCCTGAGCCTAAAGCCTGTAGGGGGGCTTTGCTGAGCCATTTAGTGCGTCGGTTGTGGGCCTGGCACCTCCTGCCGTGTGGGTCGGCTCAGGGCACCTTGCTCCAGGCGTAGGCTCAGGCGAATCTGAAGCCACGTGGAGCCGTACCAAAGTGCTGGGTCAGTCTGCCTCTCCGTGACTGTGTCGCCTCCTTCCGGCTTAGCCGTGCTAGAGCCTCCAGGTGGCAAACAAGTGTCATGGGTCATGTCGCTTCTTGCTGATATAGGAAATTGTGTGAGTGCACCGTAAGCTTCAGCGCCATCCGCTATTTCGCCACAACAGCGAGCTGAAGTGACTCTCCCCACTGCGCGGAAGGTGGAAACCCTACCGCTTGCCCAGTAAGCAAGGCCGTAACAGTAATAGTGAGACCTGGCAAACCAGACCGGTTCAGCGATGGTGGCACATTGCACAAAAGTGGGGCCAACTCACCTTACGCTTGAAAGGAGAGGGCCTGGTGGGTGCTTCGAGCGTACTTGGAAGGCAATGCCCGTTCGAAAGCCACACAGGCTACCTTGCCAGTTTGATCCGTAGCGGCTACAACAACAACGCAAATCTGTAATCACGATAATGACAACTGCAACTACAGCTGTAGCTGCCCATGCTATTACAATCACTTCTGACACAAATAACCTCTTGCTCTCTCTCCCCAATTGTCACGCTTCTGTCGATAATGCTCTTTGGAGTGGTTGGGCTGTTTGCAGTTCCATTCTTTTTCAGCAAGCACGCAGAAGCTCGCACTTTGCCCTGCGCCCCAAAGTGTTTAGATCCGAAGCTTCAAAGCGCAAAAGTCCGAACCATGAATCACTGGATGATTGAAAGCCTGGGGATTCTGAAACTCTTTGTCTCTGTACCTGAGCTCTGAGCCTCGATCCCGTAATACAGGTAGGGTTTAGGGTTTAGGGTTTAGGGTTTAGGGTTTAGGGTTTAGGGTTTAGGGTTTAGGGTTTAGGGTTTAGGGTTTGTTTGTCCAAGGTTTTGGAATAGCATCCTATGACATCGAAGGATGACTGTTCAGATTGTTTTCATCTTTTCAAAGCCTCAAACCTAGCTGAAGACGTCCACTCCTAAGCCCCTACTAAACAAACCCCAAGATACCCCCCGTATCGCCTCGAAGGACATGATCGGCGCGGAGATCGGTGCGGCCCCTTGCAAGAACGAGCACGGGAACCAGGAGTTTCGAGGTTTGGGGTTTAGGGTTTAGGGCTCAGAGTCAGTTCAGGTTTGGGGCACAGGGATGAAAGATCAGGGGTGTGTGGGGGTGTAGGGCTCAGGGCTTCCAAGGTTCAGGGGGTTTCGGGGTTAAGCGGTTTAGGGCTCGGGGGTTTGCAGGGTTTAGGGCTTCAAAGGACAAACACCTGCGAACATCCTGGGCTGTTTGCAGTAATTGGGCATTAAGGGACCATACGATCACATAATTATAGGCCTTTGTTTGGAGAATCTATTTTGTAGTACATAGGTACTTAGGACCGTTCATAGAGGGGGGAGGTCATCTGGCCACCTCAAACCCGAATGAAAGCCGGGCAACCCGAAATGCCCAGCCGAACCTGACGCCCGAAACCTAAATTATACCCTACGCCTGCAAAAATCGTCAAGCCATGAACCCTGGACCTCCAACTAGGCCCAACGCCTTAAGTTTTCCAAACCCTAAGGCATTTGACGAATCTAGACACCCTTGTAGTAAACCTTGAAGGAACCTGAAGAACCCTTATTAAGCTGTTTACACACCTAATACACGTATAGAAAGCACCCCGGCAGCATCTCTTTTCGGAACCTAAAACGAAACCCAACCGTTCACGTCACTAAGCAGGAGCTGCTCATCGAGTCAAGTGGGTTGGTTAGGCCTGTCAAGTCTCTTAAGTTGGGTTGCCGATGTTCCTGGTATATGGGCATGAAGGGTTCAAGATAGCATGTTGTGGTGCATCATCGGGCTTTCTAGCTTTGGGGTAAGGGTTAGTTCCTGCTATTGAGTATGTCCATTGTTGCCAGGCCCCCATAGTACCCTTGTTTCCGCTTTGTTGTTCAGGAGTACCTCAGCGGGCAAAGAGAACCGCACTGTAAGCGGTCATAATGGTAAGCTAAAACCTAGAAAGTGTTCAATTGTCTCGTTCCTCTCTGTTGCTATCCGGTACTGTCATCATGATGACGGATGGCTGCGACGCTTCAGCGAGCATGACGAGCATCCTTTCAGGGGAGTCGGGCTTTGGCTTAGAATCTCTGAGGGATCCTTTCAGGGCTTCTAGAGATGTTTCTATTTGGGATCAGCCTGCTCTTTGAAGATATACACGCTAGACCCTTAAACCCTAGAGCTACTGTAGCTTTGATTCAATTTTGGGGTCAGCCCCATGCCTTAGAGCTGTAGCAAACGCGTATTGTATACTAAGTAATCTTCAGCCCTGTTTTGTTACCTATCGTTGCGCTAGAGAACTGGACAAGTAGACACAGAGGATCCCAATCTCAATCCGTTTGGAGTTCGACGGTGTTGAATTCTTTTCGTGATATCAGGGCTTTGCCGTGTTGGACCATGGTTCGATCATTTACAAACCACATCCTACCAATTCACAATCTGTAACCCTGAACTGAAAGCCCTCAATCCTGAACCCTAAATCTTGAACCCTGAACTCTGAACCCCAAACCCTCAACAAAAAACCTTAAACCATTTTCTGGACCTCGCGCCGCCAGGCTTCCTCTGACAGGCTTCTGCTTGGGAGTCGCAGAGGACGTTTTTGGGTTTGGGGTTTAGGGGTTCAGGCTTCGGATTTTCGATTCACGCTTAGAGTCCTGCATATCCTTGTGGGAGTGTCGACAGGCTGATTATGCTCGATAGGCCTCAACTGCAAATTGCAAAACCGTTTAGGAGTTTAGGAACTGAGTGACCCTGATCGCTAAACCCCTAAACGCCCAGATAGCACTCAGTTAGCTTTGATTGTCGGATCAAGCAAGGGGAGGTACTCCTCCGTCTCAATTTTTAACGACTAGAAGCTTGAAGACTTAGTTGAGGCTGCTATTCCTTGTAGGGTTCCTCATGGCAATACAGTTATCGCACATTGATAAAATGATTACGGCCCCGAAAGCGCGACATACTGGAGCGAACACTGGTGTACCCAATCGTCCACTACTTTCGTCCACTACTTGGGTTTTGGATGGTACCCTTGTTGTTGGGTATGTTGGGGTAGTGTGAGATTATAGGTGCTTGGACCCAAGAAGTTGTTAAAAAGTTGTAAGGATATACTATGGGAGAACCCAGAAAAGCCGAACTTACCTCCCCGAGGATTGCTCAAAGGTCCGGATCTCAGTTGGGGGGGCCTTCCAGGTTTTGAAAATTCGGAAGGGGGGGGGCAGGGCATGGGTTTGGGTAGTTAGGCGTTCAGGGGTTTCGGTTTGAGAAAGTCTGATGGTTTAGAAGTTTTGGTATTTAGGGACGGCTTTTCTGCTAGCTCGCCAAAGAGATCGAAAGCCAGACTACTATAGGGGCCTAATTAAAGAATTACCGATTACATTTTGGGGGGTTCCTCATTATAGTCACAGTATAACGGGCTCCATTATACTATTCAGGCCCCTATAGTACTTGTCCCAGACTCGGCCACACTAGCTGAGCCACACGGTTCAGGGTCTAAGACATCTGCGAGTTGCAAGTGAGCAGTACGTCTTCGTGAACACCTCTTGCATTCATATGAGCAAAGGTTTATTTGGAATGCATGGGTTGTAAAGGGTTTAGGGATTTGGGCTTTAGTTTAGGGTTTTGATAGGTGTTGTATAAGGTTAGTAGAGCTTACCGGGTTTATACGGCTTGGGGTCTTAGGGCTTGCGTGGGTGTTGTAATCGGCATCACTGGTTCCTGTGCAAAAGCATGTGATGCGGGAAGCCACTGCGCCGCAAATTGCAATACCATTTCGGTTTCGCGAACGCTTCGGGTGGACGGTGCACTAGTTAGTGTCTGCGTGCTACGCTAAACTAGGGTTCCTATTTCAGGTTGGCTTCTTTCACACTGGACGTGTACCGGAACAACCCAGACCAACACAACAGAATGTCGGAAAATCCATGTGCAGTCGGGTTTAGGAAACAAGGAACTACCCGCAGCACGGCCAGGCCCTATTTAACATACTCACAACATGAACACCAGCCATGACATTGATGCAAAGCCTGCATAAACCCTAAACCCGAAGCCCTAAACCTCAATACAGACCAGGGAAAGGGTCCTGGGCGCTGCACGGCAAAGCCAGTGCTGGCGGCCTGTGACTCAGGCGCCGCCAGGGCAGAAGTTGCAGATCTCTCGGCTTCAGGGCTGTCGGATTTTAGAGAATTTAGGGCTTCAGGGCTCAGGGCTGTAGGATGTAAGAGGGTTTAGCTTTAGAGGATTTAGGCTTTAGGGCTTTGGGGTTTGGGTTTGAGGGTTTGGAGTTTGCTTTATTTATAGGGTTCAGGGTTAAGGAGTTAAGGGCCCCAATTTGCAAAAGCAATAATTCAGAAAGGTATGATCCAAATCATACGAAGGATCACCTCTGGAAGTTACGGCACATTCCGCACTTGAGGGCCAAACTAGGTTTCACAACTTCAACTCCCCAAAACAAAAGTATTTTAGGGGTCGGGTCCACGCACCAAGATAGATGTATACTTTGACCCCAAAGTACAGGGTATCTAGGTACCACTCCAATGTTTGAACACATGTATGTGTACATATATATATATATGCATGCAGTATGTATGTACATATGTATGTGTATCTATGTAGGTATCTTTGTGTGTATCTATGTGTGTATGAATGTGTGTCTGTATCTGTACGTGTATGCTGCGCATGTGCATTCCTATGTGTGTGTATGGGCATAGAAGCAAATGTGTACACATACAGACATACCTAAACATCTACATGGACCCTTTGGGACAGAGTGCTGAACTTAGCGTTAAGGCCAGCAACCAGGATTTCAACACTATGGCCTGAAGCTGTAAACCAAAACCTCAATCTAGCCCCTCGCCACTGTCTGAATCACCCAACTATCACTGTACCAGAATTCGCGCGAAGAAGCTGCATAGGCCCCCTGCAAACGACAGGCACTCCATACCCCGAGCCTTCAACTTAATCAACCCTAAACCGCAAAATCAATTCCTGAATCGTAAACTCGTAAACCCCAATTCCAAAAGCCAACCCTCAACCGGGACTTGAAAAGCTTCTGAAGATAAATAGGTCTCTCTCTCTCTCTCCCTCTCTCTCTCTCTCTCTCTCTCTCTCTCTCTCTCTCTCTCTCTCTCTCTCTCTCTCTCTCTCTCTCTCTCTCTCTCTCTCTCTCTCTCTCTTTCTGTATATATATATATATATATTTATTTATATGCACACACACACACACACAGCTCCTGGACGCTTCTTGACGGTGATTGTTGTCCGTTTGGGTGGCTTATGTCCGCTTTTTATTTGTCTGCCTTCTACTTGTTATAAATATGTTGAGTTTTCTTACCTATAAACCAAGCCCAATTTTATGTGTGCTTTGGGAAGTCGAGTCTGTCCGACTGTCTCACTGAAGCTTTGGGAGCTGATGGAAACTGCAAATTTTTGCATGTCTGTGCAATAGAATCACTGACCTGGGTTGGGTTTGAGGGTTTGTGGTTTAGAGTTTAGATGTTAGTCAGTGTTGTTGTTTAGGGTTGGGGGTTAAGGAAGTGAGGTGCGTTTCGCGGTTTATGGTGTTGTCACCCCAACGCTTCCTTGCTGAGAGGTGACGCCGGGGATGATGCGGAAAGCGCGAGGTTGTGGAAGCAGGGGGGCCCAGCACTGGGAGCCGTCTTTCATACCCAAAGGGTCGTAAGATCCTAAACGGGGGATACTTACCCAAACCATATGGTATATTCCTGTTATAGAAACCTTACTCATCGCAAAATCCTAAACACAGAGACCTTATGAAGCATCACAAAACCCGGCAGAAATCCATCACATACACGAGCATACACACAATCCTAAAATCAAACACCCTGGGAAGACCAAGTTTTTGCTGCAGGTGGTCGATCCCCGTTGAGTCTCGCAAGGGCATCGGGCGTCTGATGCAGGGCGATCGATGCTTGCAGGCCGAGATGGGAGAGAATAAGGGCTTGAATCGTTACATTCCTTACGATTCCTACCACGCATTATATATGTTATGGCATACCCCAAAGCCCGATGACTGTTGAAGGAATAGTTACGGTCATTGTGTTCGTGCGTGGGATGTTGAAGAAGCAGCTTGGTGTGGGGGCTGTGGGTTAAGAGGCCGTGGGATTAATATGCTTGGAGGTTGGAGCGGGAATTAGGATATCAACCCAAACGCCAAGTTTCAACCCCTAAACCCTGAACCCTAAACCCTAAACCCGGGAACCATGAAGCTGCAAACCTTGAAAACCCTCTCCCGAAGTCTTCAATCTGAGCTCAGCACCTCCCTAGCATGGTAACTCCAGAAAGTTGGAATATGGATTAATGGTAGGATCTTTATGGTTCCTTTAAGGGATCTAGGGGGGTTTCCTTTGAGGGATCTATAGGGGTTCCTTTAAGGGATCTAAAGGGAACTCCAGAAAGTTGGAATATGGATTAATGGTAGGATTCCCTATAATTTACCTTAAAGGGGTTACGATAATGATATTCCAACTTTCTGGCTTCTACTGTAGCATGGTAACTTAAAGTGTTACAACCTACAGGTCGGAATCATATATAGTCAGAAAGACGGCTCCAACGGTTCCCGGGTCCCCCAACACTATTATAGTTTAGGGTTTAGGGTCTAGATCGAAATTCCATGGATATTGCTGAGCTTAGTCCTAGGGTTGGCCTACCAAGAGCTCCAAGCATGTAGGAGCACCTACCCAAAGGCCCAAAAGTAGTTCCTTTTTGGGATGACCGTAGAGGATTCTATATATGAACCCCAAAAAGGAACTACTTTGGGGCCTTTGGGCAGCACCTTGACATTCAAAAGCGCCCTAGGAAAATACTCACTCAGCTTTCTGAGGGCTCAGAAGTCAAGGGCGCGATAGCCCCCATGTCTTACGCCCTAAACCATATATAGAACTGTACATGCAAAGACTGAGAACCCGAGGCCTTAACTATAAGTCCTGTCCCCAAACTAGGGTAAGTGCCTTCTAGACACGACCTACCTACTTTAAGATCCGACAGAAGCCAGCGCCAAACAAACAGATAAGAGATCTTAACATCCTTTAACCCTATAAATCCTAAGCCCTACGCCGTGAAGAGCACATCGCCTGAAAACCACTAGCCCCAACCCTAAACCCCAAACCCAATCAAACCTGTGAGGCTATCTTCGCACCCCTTGGGTGTTGCGTTTGATTGCTTTGTTTCGTTGGTTATGGTTTCGCTTGTGGGGAACTCTGTTGACACAACCCTTTAAGCGGGGGCAGAGCAATGACGAAGCCACGTCTTAAGGACAGATCCTGACTCCAACAACCAGTCCGGGCAAAAGAACGTAACATAGAAAGCATGGGCCACGCCACCCTAACCCCAGCTAAACCCCAAACCTACCCAGAGGTCCCAAAGTAGTTCCTTTTAGGGATTACCTTATAGGATTCTATATATGAACCCCCCAAAAGGAACTACTTTGGGGCCTTTCGGAAAGCCGCTGTTGGCAGTTGGTGAACCACGAGTGGTTGAGTTTCAGCCTCGAGGTTACGCCGTGACCTCAGCCGTGATTCAGTGCCCACTTGAGTTTACCCTGAGGCCCCAAAGTAGTTCCTTTTTGGGTTCATATATAGAATCCTATAAGGTAATCCCTTTTGAGTTTGAAGGTAGAAAGGACGTGTGAGGGTTCTTGGGGATGGTAGCTCCCTGTTGGGTTTTAGGGGTTTGGGGTGTTTTAGGGGTTTACCCTGAGGCCCCAAAGTAGTTCCGTTTTGGGGTTCATGTTTAGAATCGTGTGAGGTAATCCCTAAAAGGAACTACTTTGGGGCCTCTGGGTAATGGTCCCAGAAAGGGATGTATGAGGGCCCTTTGGAGTTTAATTGACGGAAACATGAGGCCAGCCAGTAGACCTCTCGATCGATTGCAGGGTTAAGGTGTAGGTTTACGGTTTATCTATCCCGAAAAGATAAAGATCGGAAGGGGATTTGTTGAGGGGTTGAGTGCGTCTGGGCGCTTGGGTCCAGCCCGGTTTCGGGTCTACGTTATAATTCCGAGTATAGAGTGTGTCGTTCTGGTGTGGCGGAGAGTGCAGACTTGGGGTATTTGATGCTTTTGGGTGTCTCGGCTTTGTCCCGAAGCCTATCCGCAGAATCCCTTATCCTTTGGGTTCGTGGTACTTTGGGAGGGCTCACCCTGAACCACTCAGGCCGCTACCTGGGCGTTTGGATGTTGTCCTTCCCAATCTGTACCTCGAATACCCTGGGACAGGGCTTTGGGGGCATAGGTGCCATAGTTATACATCGGGAATAGAAATGTGGGGATGCCTTTTGCTAGTTGTTCCACCTCTACTTTGACTGCTGAGCCTAGATGGGTCCATGGCTCGCCCCTATGTAATCCCCAATGATTGTCCCCATAACCCATTCCCCCCTTCCCCACTGAGAGCCAGACAGTTGGTGTGAGTCGCAGGTTAGGCAATGCTCGGATGGTCGTGAGACTTGATGCGTCTCTCGCAGGGCATCTACTCTTGGATGTGATCCGAGATTGGTTGCTTGGTGCTGTGCCCCTGCTATTATGGGGGCCTTAATAATAAATACCTATACTATATTGGGGGTTCCTCATTATAAGTATAGTGGAATACACCCCAAAACCCCCTTCCAATTATTAAGGCCCCTATGGTAGAACGTTCTTGGACGCAAGGACTTCCTGAGAAGGACTCTCGCGAGGACATTCCATCCAGCCCGCAGAGTGCGAGTGTTATCAGTGAAGTTCCTTGTGACATGTCGGCGAACCTGCCGTAAATCTAGACCATCTGCTTGCTTAACGCAGCTAGAGATCATAAGATGATGAACGCTATGTTGTTGTGTCAAGGGTTATGATACCCTCAGATACACCCTTCAAGGAACGCTTACAGGAAGGCTATTCTGATTATTGAGGCCGGAATACCGAAGCCCTTACCTAACCCTGTAAAGAACGTCATTCCAATCAGTAAGGGCTTAGGGTTTAGGGTTTCGGGACCCTCCATTAACGAACCTATATAAGGGCCCTGTGTGCTTCTTGGGCCTTGAAACCAGGGATCCCTCGACGCTGATGCTCCAGAGGAAGCAAATCCACCAACCCAAAAACCCAAGCCTCAACGCTTCAGGTTAGGGCTTTAGAGTTTTGGGGTTTAGGGTTTATTGGGATCAGGGTTTGGTGTTTCGGGTTTAGGGTTTAGGTCAAGGGTGAGCTGGAATATGTTACCCTGACCCCTGACACGAAGGAGAACCCCAAGCCCCCAAAACCACTAACCTACCCACAACATCATCTGCACAGGCCAATCCCCTGAACCCTACAGGAGAAGCCAGAAAGTTGGAACATGGGTTTCGGAGGAGTAGTGCCAGGATCCCTTATGCTTTACTTTAGGGGCATGAGGATACCAATGTTCCAACTTTCTGGCTTCTACCATAATCCTACCTTCATCCCAGCTTTGGAAGCTTCCGAGGAAGCCCTAAACCCTAAACCCTAAAACCCTAAACCCTAAACCCTCCATAACCCCCCCCCCCCCCCCCCCGAGAACGATCAAGGCGATGCCAAAGCCAGCGCCTGAGTCGGAAGTCGCCAGGTCTCGTCTCACGAAAAAGCTCAGGTTACAGTTACCCCAAGGGTCCAAGTACCCTATACTCTCCAAAATCCTAACCTACATAACTACTATCCGAAAACCGAGTACCTGATTATTGGGTCCTTTGCACCCTTGAAATTATTCAGGGTTGAGGGCTTAGACAAGGAGTTCAGGGTTAGTTTGGGTTTATAGGTTTTTGCTTTACGGTTCTTTGCCGTTCACAGGTTCAGGGTCTCTAGTCGTATACGTCGTACTGTAAGGAATCTAGTTCTACAATTCCCCAGCGTTCCAGTTATGACAAGTAGGCTACTGCGGCAGGTAGTATATATATATATATATGTATATATATATATATATATATATATATATATAGTAAGTAATTTACTATTTACGTATCTGGAGCCCTAGGGATTCGCATGCCACCCACTGAAAATACGCCCTGCACTCTAAACCCCGACAGGCTCTTCATAGCTAACAGGTCATATGAGTTGCGCAGAGATGTCTTAAAGACAGGAGGGCGTTCCTGCAGGTCGTGAGTATCAGGATTCTATCACTCAGATGGCCATGGTGGGTACCATTGAGATGCTGGGCTTCTACCAGCACCACCCGACTGCCCTCTACTATGCCATAAATTCCCACGATTAAGGAACATAAGGGCTCTATTCAAGGGTGCTTGGGGGGTGCTGGTAAACCATGATCTTTCGACATCGTCATCCTTTGCTGTGGGGTGGACCCGTGATATTTCCTTCAGATTCGCCCCTACATTCCTAAAACCCTAAACCTCTAAACTCCTAAACCCTAAACCTAAACTCCTAAACCCCTAACCCCCCAATCTTAAGCCAAAGCGAACCAGCTGCATAAACTCGGACTTCCACTTGGGACTGGAAGAAAGTGTCTGGAGCGTCTGCAAATCCCGGCAAAACCCCACTTATTTTGTTCAAGACTCATCAATAACTCTTTAAAGAACTACTATGGGGCCTCTGGGTAGGCTCATAGAGTTTAGGGTTTGGGCATCAAGACAAGCAAGCCAGAAGCGTGGCTAAGTTACCTGCTACCTTACGCATCCTAGATATGTTAAAACCGTCCAGCTTTCGACACCCTGCAGCCTCACCGGGCCGTTCCCCGAGGTAGCAACGCTGAGGACCAGCTGTGGGCCTGGGCTCCGCCCTGAGAACACGGAATGAGGTTCTGCATTCAGCCGAAGTAAGGAACGTACCTGTAGCGTAGGGTAGCAGTGAGCATCGCCAGTCCGTAGTAGCGAATTTGCTCAAAGCAGTTGACGGTTTTGGATTTCTGAGCTATCTTTGTGAGCCCATGGCGCCACAGATGCTAGCGACGATGCTTGTGGCCGTGTCGTGGAGCATGGTGTCGGGACAGCTTCGAGGTATGTCGGCCACGAACGAAACCAACGCCACAGACCAGAGAGCTCTTCGCTCTGCCTCGGGAGCTGTCTCCGGGCATCCCGACCCCAGCAAGACGTACCCAAGCTACTTTCCTTTGGTTAGTAGGGTTTAGGGTTTAGGGTATAGGGAATGGAGGAATGGGGTACAATTATAACTACTATTACGACCATTCTTCCATTCCCTACTAACCAATGGTAAGGCTACCCGGGCTTCACGCTGGCGCTCGTGGAGGAGTTCGACAGCCCACTGGACTTGGACAGCGATCCCATCTGGACCTGGTCGGACGGTGGTCTTTTCGAAGGCGACGTGCGCTTCGTGAAGCAGCAGATCCGATTTGAGGATGGCAAAATGAAGATCTCTGCCACGCAGAACCCCGGCTATTCTACACAGGCCTGCTCGCACGCCGAGGTGGGGACAGTTGATCACAAGCCCTTGGTGAGCGGCGAGTTCCGTTCTCGGAGAAACATCTTCCGCTACGGGCGCTACGAGGTGCGCATGAAGGCTCCAGATGTGCAACCCGGGAATCCGGATGTGGACGGGAACTTTGTAGCCACCATGTTCATTTTCCGCGATGCCAAGTTCCGCCACTGGCGGGAGATTGACATCGAGGTTACCGGCGACTCCCCCAACTCTGTGACGACGAACGTGCTCCGTGCCGACAACACGGAGTTTTGGAGACCACAGATCGCTTCGGTCAGAGAGACCAACGTGCAAGGCAACGCACGTGCCGAATTCCACACCTACGGCTTCGAGTGGCTGCCTGACCGCATCACCTGGTACATCGACGGCGTTCCGGTGAGGAGCCACTACGGCGGGAACCCGCCAATTCCGGACAAGTCGGCCAAGGTCATGATGAACTTGTGGATCTTTGGCCCAAAGGCCAACTTCGGAGGAAGGCAGATCGACAACAATCGCTACCCCATGACCAGCGAGTACGACTGGTTCCGCTTCTACAAGTGGGACGGTGAGACGACCTATCCATGCCAGGGCTTTTCCACTTCGTGCCTGTCGAGTGATGACAGGTGGGTGTGTTCTGAATCATTGCTGTATCCCGTCTAGTGAAGCCAATTCGCGGGCATTCTGTCAGTAAGCCAGCAGCCTATGATTGTCTATGGGTGTCTGTTAAGCAGCCCTCAACCCAAGCCGCCTGCAGGTATCTGGACGGTAACAACCCTTGCGATGGGCAGCCGATGCTTGGCACTTGGAAGGGCCAGGGTGCGTGCACTGCGTCCTGCCGATGAGCTCAGTGGCTCCATTTAAACCTTGCACCGAGGCCTGTAAACCCGTTCCTCAGCTTTCTATAACACAATCATGCTATAGTATCGCCCCCTAAACCCTATTCTAATTATGAAGGCCGTTGGTGGGCGCATGGACTTTTCTTGCATAGCTTGCCCCCAGTTAAGTGGGGTCTAATTCGTGCCCGTTTTGGGAAAGCAGTGCCATCAACAGAGTGGCACTTGCTATCCTTCTTCAGACCGTTTTCTCATGGTCAGTCTCTGAAGGAACCTGCCTACATGTTCACCGACAGCAGATTTAATAGGTCAAAAGGAGGACGGTCAGAGGGGTTCTTCTTTTGGTGGGGTTTGTTTTCCTCGAATGTGCTCGTGGGTCCAGCCCTAAATTAGGCCTGACCAACTAGGAGCACTATTCAGTCAGGCTCCTTACAAATATGTCTCTATGAGTCTATCAGTCCATATCACAAGTTTAGAGATCTTCACCCAAACCAAAGTCTGATAATTAAGGCATGTATTGAGTCTGTGAAGCATCGCAAGTCCGTGGTAGCAAATTTGCTCACAGCAGTTGACGGTTTTGGATTTTTGCCCTATCTTTGCGAGCCCATGGCGCCACAGATGTTAGCGACGATGCTTGTGGCGGTATCGCTAACTGCGGCGTCGGGACAGCTTCGAGGTATGTCGGCCACGAACGAAACCAATGCCACAGACCAGAAGACTCTCCGCTCAGCATGGGGAAGCTGCCAAAAGTACGGCTGTCCTTCGACATACATTCAGAGTCAAGCGTGCCAGTGCAACAGCCGATGCCAGGACTACCACAACTGCTGCTCGGACATCACCAGCTGCAGTGCTGGAGCACCGCCTGCTGCATCCCCGGTGGGCGCGCCCAGCGCTTCCGGGCACATCTCCGGGCATCCCGACCCCAGCAAGACGTACCCAAACTACCCGGGCTTCACGCTGGCGCTCGTGGAGGAATTCGACAGCCCACTGGATTTGGACAGCGATCCCATTTGGACCTGGTCGGACGGTGGTCTTTTCGAAGGCGACGTGCGCTTCGTGAAGCAGCAGATCCGATTTGAGGACGGCAAAATGAAGATCTCTGCCACGCAGAACCCCGGCTATTCTACACAGGCCTGCTCGCACGCCGAGGTGGGGACAGTTGATCACAAGCCCTTGGTGAGCGGCGAGTTCCGTTCTCGGAGAAACATCTTCCGCTACGGGCGCTACGAGGTGCGCATGAAGGCTCCAGATGTGCAACCCGGGAATCCGGATGTGGACGGGAACTTTGTAGCCACCATGTTCATTTTCCGCGATGCCAAGTTCCGCCACTGGCGGGAGATTGACATCGAGGTTACCGGCGACTCCCCCAACTCTGTGACGACGAACGTGCTCCGTGCCGACAACACTGAGTTTTGGAGACCGCAGATCGCTTCGGTCAGAGAGACCAACGTACAAGGCAACGCACGTGCCGAATTCCACACCTACGGCTTCGAGTGGCTGCCCGACCGCATCACCTGGTACATCGACGGCGTTCCGGTGAGGAGCCACTACGGGGGGAACCCACCGATTCCGGACAAGTCGGCCAAGGTCATGATGAACTTGTGGATCTTTGGCCCAAAGGCCAACTTCGGAGGAAGGCAGATCGACAACAATCGCTACCCCATGACCAGCGAGTACGACTGGTTCCGCTTCTACAAGTGGGACGGTGAGACGACCTATCCATGCCAGGGCTTTTCCACCTCGTGCTTGTCGAGCGATGACAGGTCGGGTGTGTGTTCTGAATCAATATAGTGTCACATTTAGTGAAGCCAATTCACGCGCTTTCCGTCAGTTAGCCAGCTCTGGAAGCCTTTGAATATTTATGGGTGTCCGTGAAGCAGCCCTCAAATCAAGCCGCCTGCAGGTATCTGGACGGCAACAACCCTTGCGATGGGCAGCCGATGCTTGGCTCTTGGAAGGGCCAGGGTGCATGCTCTGCGTCCTGCCGATAAGGTCCATGGTGCATTTTAACTCCTGGCCACCGCGGACTTGCAGAACGCATGGCTAATCTCATTTCCGGGCTCTTTCCTCAAGGTCCAGACTTTCAGGTATTGTCGGCCCCTGCTGTATAGACTGCCCCCAGTTAAGTGGGGTATAATTCGAATTCGTGCCAGTCTTGGGAAGGCAGTGCCATCAACAGAGTGGCACTTTTGATCCTCCTTTCGACCGCTGGCTCATGGCCAGTCTGATTCCAGACCCTGTTTTATAGTATGCCCGGCGCACGTTAGAGTGCCTTCGTATATCAAAGAGGAGGGCGATCACTCTGCTGTCAGAGACTCACAGACACAAGTATATCAATATAAGGGCCTAAATAATTACCAGAACAATTTTTTGGGGTGGTCCTTATTATGGTTATAGTCTATTGGGCCCCTAAACCTTATTCTAATTACTAAGGCCCCTATATTACTGGAAAGCCACTGCTTCAACCGCCAGCCTATGGCTGGCAGTCTTCATATGAAACAATCGAAACGAACCCTGGGTGTATAGGGTTTGGGTTTTCTGGGCCTTGCGCCCAGGCCTCGAACTTGTTAAGCGTTTCCGTGCTTTTACCGTATCCTAGGTTCCTGAGTAGTCTTTTGCCCTGTAAATTTAGGTGCCTTTATTAATTAAGTGCCTACTCGGGGTTCCTTACTGTAATTACAGTATAATATACCCCCCCCAAACCGTAAATACAGTATAATAATACCACCCCAAACCCTACTAATCATTTAAGGCCCCTCTATTACCGTAGCCGAACACCAAGGACAACCTCGCCGTCACTTCGCAGGAGCTGCCGGCACTTCGTCCCGGGGTGTCTCTGCGAAGCATGTGGGAGTTTCCGACAGTCATGGGTACCTTATTTTGGGGGTCCTTAGAGTAAGGATCCTACTATTTAGCGTATTATATATTAGGGTCCCCTATTACCTTTTCGGAAACTCCCAAGTAAGAATGGCACTCTAAGTCCTTACATCCCCGGCTCTAAACCCTAAACCCAAAGCCGTTGAACGCTAGAGCTTGTGGAATCGACTTGACTCGGGGTTCGGTGGAGGACCTTATAATGCTTACAGTTTTGGCTCTAACGGGTTTGGGCTGAGCGTCGATGCAAATCGGATTTCAGATGTTGGGTTGTGTTTTCTGGAGGTGTTTATCGAGTCCTTTGCTTAGAGGGTCAGATTTTTTAGTAAGCACGCTTATAAGCAGCTTAATTTGGGGGGGCGGCGAAGATGCGCTAGGACCCAGAGTAGAGGCTTGGGTTCCCTTATAAGCCCCTTTCAACCAAAAAGGGCACCCTTTTTATTCCTAGGTTACTCTTAGGTCTAGTCGCTGCGAGTGTAAATTTCTTGACTCATTTTTGTCGACAGGAGCCGTAGCCTGGTGCAACACTCTCCTTACGAAGTCCCATGATCCCGGAACCAAAAGTTAGGGACCCAAAAAGCACACAAGCATGAGCATTTTTATGGGGATATCCCTACCTTATTGGGCTTCATCATAAGGGGATGTATATGGGATATCCCTATCGTATTGTTTGCTTATGTGCTTTTCTGGGGCCTTAAAAAGCCCTGTGCAAGCCATACACGCGACGAGGTCGTCGCCTAGGCCCGTCAATCTTCAACCCAGAACTGTTTACGGCGAACCCCAGAAAGTTGGAACATGGGTTTTAGGAGGATTCGTGCTAGGATCCCTTCTACTTTAGCGTAGGGGCATGAGGATACCGATGTACCATAACCTTGGATAGTGCTCTTGTGGTCCGTCGGGGGTCGAGCTGACTCCTAAACTTTAAGAAGCAACACCCAACCCGAAATTGAAATCCTGCATCCTAACACCCTTTATCCTTCAAGCCGCAAGCCTCACCCCTAAACCCTAAACCCTAAACCCTAAACCCTAAACCCTAAAGCCTCTATCCTTAAACCCGAAAGCCTCAGCCCCAAATCCTAAACCCTAAATGCCAAACCCTAAATTCCCAATCTGAAGTGCAGCCAGGAGCTTTGAGTGCTGGAGTTCTTCCCGAAACTTCGGCGAGGCGGGCGTTCCAGAACAGCCCTCCAGTTTCGGATGGAATGTGGGAGTTTCCGAAAAGTCCTTATTATGAGGATCTTACTATTTGGGGTACTATAATGGGGTCCTGGAATGTGGATGTCTGGAATTCGCAACATTTTTTTTCGGACTACGAGGGTGTGTCTTGCGCAGCCTTCAAGATCTTCCTATGTCCAGAGCACATATGGGTGGTTTTCAAAATTGGAGTCCCTTTTGGGAACCCTAAATAATAGGTGCCGTACTATAATAGGGACCCCAAAAGGGACCATAATTTTGACAACTACCCATATGTATTTTATGAGAACGTGGACCCTGAAAGTAGTTTTGTCTCTGTGAATACCTCATGGGCACGCTACCTCTCGATGCTCTCAGAGGCCTCAAAAGGTGGGATGAATGTAGGTGGGATATTCCCAATTAGAGTCCTTATGTAAGGGATCCTTCATCCTACCCACCTTCATCCCACCTTTTGAGGCCTCCGAGATGCGAGGATCCGGACCGACAGCTGCCCGCCGCGCGAGCAAAAAGCATTGACATTCTTCGGCTCAGCCTTCGTTTTGGAAGCTTCAGGGTTCAGAGTTTGGGGATTACCTGGATCCCAAAAGTATGTAGAATAATAGCCTTTAATGGGTTTTGGGCCATTATTCTACCTACTTTGGGGGGTCTAGGTATGGTTTAGAAGTTTAGGGCTTATAGCTTTGTGCTGCAACCCAAAGGGTCCAAGTATCATATGGTATATACTTAGACCCCCCCAAAATACCCTATAAGTATATACCATAATGATACTTGGACCCTTTGGGCAAGAGTTCTTTCTACTGCGTGCTCGTAGCCAACAGTCGGCCGTGGCCCTGCCAGTCGTCGGTCGACATTGTCGTGATGCAGCTCCCATACATCCATCACCACATACACAGTATAATATACATACATATATGTATATACCCTATATATATATATAAACTGTATATGCGTATATGTGTGCAGTAGCTAAGTGTCTGAATCACAATGGATATGTCACAAGTTCTGCCACGCCCGTAGATGGAGATGGGAGGGTCTTTAACTGTAGCAAAGACAGCCCTTTGAAGGTCCGTCATGTTGCAGTTGCAGCACGAAGATTGATCAACCGCATGAGCCGGCGACTGCATCGAGCACATTCCCAATACACTCCCGACTTATAAGGCACATAGCAGAAAGAGCAGGCTTGATACCCCAGCATGATAAACTCTGACCCAATAGCTAAAGGTCTCAACGGTCGTAATGCTTAGAAAACAAGGTGTTTCTGGTTCCCACCAGGTTGGCTAATGGCAAGAAGTGTAGAAAGGCAAGGCAAAAGTTCCGACAGTAATTGTCAAAACTGGCAAAGGTTATGTACCAGTGACAATCCGAATTTCAAGGGTAGTCGCATCACAGAGCTAGATGATGACATAGCTGTAGCGAACTGTGCCCATGATGCTATGGTTATTCGGACAAACCCTATGGACCCTCAGGAGCCCTAAACCCCAAACAGTGCATTAGACGACGTAAGCACTCCGCAGCAATTTGGCTTGTAAAACTGAATGGGTCGAAGTGCGCGGCTCCACATGAATAACGTAGTTACCCAGCTCTTTGACAACATCCTGCTCACCAGGAATGGTTCATGCCACGTACAGGGAATGGAGATCAATAAATGCCAAGCATGCTTTTATTGAAGCGCAGAGCTCAGGGGAAACTTCGAAATACATGACAGCCGCGTAAAACCCCACCGAACTAATGGACATCTATTGACATACAGATCTGACAGTTACTGGACCTACCGTCTCAGTGTTTCCTGGGATTTGTAAGGGCTTTAGGGTTTGGAGTTGTGAGCTGAGGCTTCGGATTTAGGGTTTAGCCGGGCCCCCGCTGGACATGCGCCCGTCATGGCAGCCGCCAGGCGCCTCGCTGTTTTTCAGTGCTGAGTGCTACAAACCTCGCGTTGCCCAGAGAGCCCAACATTTTGGGAGTTTGGGCTTCATGTGGGTCTTGGGGTTTACCCAGAGGCCCCATACTAGTTCTTTATACGAGCCCCGAAAAGGAACCACTTTGGGGTCTTGGGGTTTGGGCGCTCGGGGGTTTAGGGTCGGGGTGGGGGGGTCGAGGCTTCAGGTTTCCGGGGCTCGAGTTTACGGCCTACCAGGACCCTCCTTGTACCCTGAAATAGGGGCATATGGTCCCGAATAAGGGGCATTTAGGGTCCAATGGAGGGTGCATAGATGGAGGGTCTGGGTAGACCCCCGATCAAGAATTCATGAACCCACTCTCCTTGTAGGAGCTAAAGGTGGTAGGCTAGTAAAGCTTAATTGCCAGAAGAGAAGCAACGATGCAAGACGCAGAAAACCCCCAAAAGCCCTGCTAAACCCTATAAGCAGTAGGATGCTGAGTTCACGACTCCGCAGTAGAAGCCCAAAAGCTGGAAACCCCATAGCCTCAATCCTTAAGAGTCTTTAAGAGTCTTAAGAGTAATGTCTAGGGAATCCCAGCACTATTTGGCCTTAATCCGGTTTCCAACTTTACGGGGTTTACTGTAGGTTTACCGCCCTCCTTTTTTTCTTTTGAGGCGGACGTCGGACTTATTGGGTGTCTAGTATTTAGGATCGGACCCCCGATGATCCTTCCCTAGAGCCTTTATGGTCTATAGTTGTGGATACTTGGGTTTAGGGTTTCGGAATACTTGGGGGAGCTTCTTTTCAGGAGACAGAGCCGCTTATCATAGAACCTTAAGGCCTCACCCAAAGGCCCCAAAGTAGGTAAAATAATGGCCCAACATCTATTAAGAGGCTTTTATTCTACATACTTTGGGGGTCCAGGTAAGGACCCTAATAGAACTTCTGTTGCCAGAATCCTGTAGCGGGCCATTCCAAACCAAAAAGTTCCAAAACCCTAACCCCCGAAGCCGCAGAATTGTTCATGGAGCCCTTGAAGCAATCCCTGAAAACTGCAAAACCCTAAACCCTAGACCGGCCCCTTTAAAGGGATCTTACAAGTGGGACTATAGGGGTCTAGGGCTCTTTTAAGGTTTCTATACAGCAGCAGCCAGAAAGTTGGAACATGGGTTTAGGAGGATGAGTGCTAGGATCCCTTATACTTTACTTTAGGGGCATGAGGATACTAATGTTCCATCTTTCTGGCTTCTACCATAGGGGTTTACATGAGTCACCCCCGCAGCCCTCGGCGCAGAGAGGTTTACCTGGGAGCTGCGCGCCAGGATCCCGGTGCTTTACACGCACCAGAAGGCCCTCCATGCACCCTTATATTTTTTGCTTAGGCCTTAGAGTACCTATATACATAGGGCCCCTTTAAGGCTTAAGTATCTACTATAAAGGTACATGGAGCCTTAGGGTTTTGAACGTCGGGAATATGCCTTATTAAGATATTCGGGGGGTCCTTCTCTAAACCCCAAACCATATACCGTATCATATACCTGAAATATGTCCCATAATCTGTATGTACATATGTCTGTGTATATATATATATACACACCTCGATATGGAAGGTATAAATGTGCAATACGGGGTCCGAAGTGTTTTCAAGGTAGACTCCTTACTTATTTGACTTTGGAGTGGCTTTATCAGATCAAGAGCTTTCCGGTGTGTTTCTAAAATCCGAATGATACGGTTGATGATATAAATCCTGCATTACCTTAAGGACCCTAAACTATGGGAATTATGATTTTTCCTTGTTATGGGTACTGCAGGATTTATATCATCAGCCGTAGAGTTTAAGGGTTGAGGGTTTCAGGGTTGAGGGTTTTAGGGTTTAGGGCTTAAAGGGTTTAGGGTTTAGGTCTCTCAGGTTTCTCAGGTTTAGAGTCTATCGGAGAATAGTGGTAACATAGACCCCCGGTAAATAAAGCACTCCGACGCTAACAGGGGTTGCAGTGGAGATCCAAGCAGTAGATCCCCTACACAGAGCCAGGACCCTCCTTGCACCCTCAAAGAGGGGTATATGGTCCCAAATAAGGGGCATATAGGGTCTAATAGAGGGTAGATATGGGTAGATGGAGGGTCTAGGAAGGGTTTCATTAATCAGTGGTCCACATGAATGCGAAACAACGGCAGCACAGAAGCCTGTAAGCTCAGAAGCACTGCTTTTCCTGAGGGCTCCATGCCCCCATACATTATTCGAGCCATACCGGCCCCTAGAATAGTACAATGCGACTTTCAGTGGATTGATAGACGTTGTTCAGGGTGTTTCGGAGTTCCAGTGGGGCTTCAGGGTTTTTTGGGGGGGCTCTAGGGTGCCCCGTCGTGCCCAAAACCCTGAGGACCCCGAAGCCCGAAACCCTATAAACCCTAAACCCTCTAAACCCTAAACCTTAAACCCTATAAACCCTATAAACCCTAAACCCTATAAGCCCTAAACCCCTAAACCCTAAACCTTAAACCCTATAAACCCCTAAACCCTATAAACCCTAAACCTTAAACCCTATAAACCCTAAACCTTAATTAAACTTTAAACCCTATAACCCCTAAACCTTAAACCCTAAATCCTATAAACCGGGAGCATCCTTGGACCCTGGCCCCAACCCTGCTTTCGCAGAACGCGCGGCGACGGGTATTCCGTGAGGGATCGGTGCGACTCGCCGCCGGCCTGGCAGCGCCTCGCACTGAAGCGGCTGAAAAGTCAGGAACCTGATAAAGAAACCCTGGGCCTATAACCCCAAAATAGAAGGATTCATGTAAGGAAGCCTAATAAAGGCCCAAGGTTTCTTAATCAGGTTCCTACATTACCTTGACCCTAAAGAACCTACCGCTTAGGGCTCCTTTTTATGTTTTCATTGTACAGGTCATTAAAATGTTTGGGTCCATGCTTCGAGGATCAAGGGATTTAGCAAGGAAGGCTAAAAGCAACTTAGGTGGGTCTGTATATAAACAGATCCGCAGGCGCCACTACAATTCTGCTATCTTCAGGCCCAGGTAGTGTGTCCCATGAGCCTTAGGTCT